GGCCTAGACCCTTTTTTCTGATGAAGGGTCTAGGCCCGAAACGTCAGCCTTTCTGCTCCTATGATGCTGCTTGGCCTGCTGTGTTCATCCAGCTCTGCATCTCGTTGTCTCGGATTCTCCAGCATCTGCAGTTCCTACTATGTCTAACACCTGGAATCGGCAGGTTGCATTATGAGGAAAGGTTGGACAGAAAGGGCTTCTAGTCACTGGAACTTAATAGAACAAAGTGTGACTTGATTTTTCCTTATTCACTCGTGGGACAAGGGCATCACTGGCTGGCCAATATTTATTGTCTGTCCCCAGCTGCCTTTGAGAAGGTGGAGGTGAACCTCTGCAAATCACATGCTGTAGAGTAGCCCATATAGCCTGCAGGAGGGAATCCCGGGATTTTGACCCAGTGACAGTGAAGGAATGGCAATATATTTCCAAGTCAGGACGGTGAGGAATTGCAGGTGGTGCTGTTCCAAGGTATCTACAGCACCTGTCCTTCTAGGTGGAAGTGGTCGTGGCTTTGGAAAGTGCTGTGTAAAGATGTATGGTGAATTTCTGCAGTGCATCTTATAGATAGTATACACTGCTGCTACTCAGCATCAGTGGTGGAGGGAATAGACGTGGTGCCAATCAAGCAGCAGCTGCTTTGTACTGGATGGTGACAAGCTTCACAAGTGTTGTTGGAGTTGCACCCATCCGGACAAGTGGGCCGTACTCTATAATACTCCTGACTTGTGCCTTCTAGATAGTGGACAGGTAGGGGAAGTCACGAGGTGAGCTACTTGCCGCCAAAATCTTTCGTGTTGCAATCAAGCGCAATCTGCAAACTTATGGCCTTGCGTATCCCACACTCAACCATTACCTTCAAGCCAAGGTGTTGACCCTGGATAAATGAAAAGTGCAGGAGGGTAAGCCAGGAGCAGCACTAGGCATAACTGAAAATGAAGTGTCAACCTGGTAAAGCGATCAAACAGGACTACTTGCATACCAAACAGCATAAGCAGCAAGTGATGGAACTAAGTGACCAACAACCAACGAATCATATCTAAGCTCTGCAGTCCTGCCACATCCAGTCGTGAATAATATCCCCATCCTCAATGACAGAAGAGCCCAGCACTTCAATGCTAAAGATAAGGCTGAAGCATTCTTAGCAGTTTTCAGCCAGAAGTGCTGAATGGATGATCCATCTCAGCCTCCTCCAGCGGTCCCCAGCATCACCGATACCAGCCTCCAGCCAACTCAATTCAATTCACTCCAGGTGAATCAAGAAATAGTTGGAGGCACTGGGTAGTGCAAAGGTTATGGATCCTAACAACATTCCAGCAATAGTACTGAAGACTTGTGCTCCAAAACTTGCCACTGCCCTAGCCAGGCTCTTCCAGTACATTTGCAATGCCGGCGTCTACGCGACAATGTGGAAAGTTGCCCAGCTAAGCAGGACAAATCCAAGCCGGCCAATTACCACCCTATCAGTCTACTGTCGATCATCAGTAAAGTGATGGAAGGTGTCATCAACAGTGCTATCAAGTAGGACCTACTCAGTGACGCCCAGATTGGGTTCCACCAGGGTCACTCAGCTCCTGACGTCATGACAGCCTTGGTTTAAACATGGACAAAAGAGCTGAATTCCAGAGGTGAGGTGAGAATGACAGCCCTTAACATCAAGATTGCACTTGACCAAGTGTGGCATCAAGGTGTCCCAGCAAACCTGGAATCAATGGGTATTGGAGTCAAACTCTCCACTGGTTGAAGTCATACCTGGCACATAGGAAGATGGTTGTGGTTTGTGGACATCAGTCATCTTTGTTCCAGGACACATCTGCAGAATTTCCTCGGGTATTGTCCTAGGCCCAACTATCTTCAGCTGCTTCGTGAAATGACCTTCTCTCCATCATAAGGTCAGAGGTGGGGATGTTCACTGATGATTACACAATATTGAGCACCAGTCAAGGCTCTCCAGATACTGAGGCAGTCTATGTTCAAAAGCAAGAGATTTGGACAATATCCAAGCTTGGGGCAGATGTTGACTTTCATGGAAGAACCTACAATTTGGAGTCACTGATTAAAAATCAGGAATCGCTGGTTTAAAATAAAATTTCTCTCTCAGGGGTTGTGAGACATTGAATATTTTTTAAGGCAGAGGTAGATAGATTTTTAAGCCAAGGGAGTGAAAGGTTATTGGGTGTCAGTGGGAATGTGGATTAGACATGATGTGATTGAATAAGGCACGGGGGCTGAATGGCATTCTCCTACTGCCAACATGTATTACCAAAACCTCGATTCAAAATCATCCTGCACCGAAATGGGGCAATGAACAGCTACCTCACTGCAATGCTTCACCCTCACCGCTGACAATCTGCCTGCTGGATGGAACTAACTTATGGAGTCTGCCGGAAATTACACAATCTCCACCGCCTTCAAGCCAAAACCAAAGTCACCCCAAGTACGCAGACGATGCTTGTGTATGTCAATCTCTAGACCCTTGTCAGCACCTTTATCGAGGCATAGGAGAGCACGGGTCTCACCCTGAACAGCTGTAAGAGAGAGATCCTCACTTGACCTGGCCTGGCATTGTGCAGCAAACCTCCGGTCATCAAGGTCTACAAGGAGGCCTTAGAGAACATTGACCACTTCCAATATCTCGGAAGTGTCCTGTTGGCCAAAGCAATTACTGAAGAAGAGATCCAGCATCGCGTCCAGCGTGCTAGCGCAGCCCTCGGCCGCCTGTAGGAAAGGGCGTTCGAGAACAACAACATCAGATCTGATACTGAGATCATGGTTTGCAGAGCTGTGGTGGTTCCTGCCCTCCTATGTGGCTCTGAGACATGGCCTGTCTAGAGCAGACACCTCAAGGCACTGGAACAGTACCACCAATGCTGCCTGCACAAGATCGTGCAAATTCGCTGGCAAGAAAAACGCACTAACACCAGCGTCCTTGACCAGGCCAACATCCCCAGCATCGAGGCACTGACCCCCCACCTTGATCGGCTACAATGGGCTGGGCACGTTGTCCACATGACTGACACAAGACTCCCCAAGGAGGTGCTCTACTCCCAGCTCCGAAACGGCAGACGAGCCCGAGGTGGACAGAGGAAGCGCTTCAGAGATAACCTCAAGGCCTCAGTGGTGAAGTGCACCATTCCCACAGACACCTGGGAGTCACTGGTCCAAGACCGCCCAAAGTGAAGGAGCAGCGTCCAGGAAAGCCTCGAGCACCTCGAGACTTGACATTGGGAAAAAGAGGAAGCCAGGCAAAAACAGCGAAAGGAGCGCGCTGCCACGCCAATGCTCCCGCCCCAAGTGTAACAGAGCCTGCAGTAGCCGCATTGGGTCTGTACAGTCACCTACAGACTCACCCCCAGAGTTGAAGAGAGTCATCCTCGTCTACGAAGGACCGCCAATGATCTTCGAGGCACAGATTGGTTTGTTTTGGCATCCATGACTGGTCTACAACGACTTGGAGCCAGCAGGCTCTCACTGGGCACTGGCTTGACAACATGGGAGTCTCCCAAACTCGGGCACACAGCAGAGACAATTAAGGGAAGGGAAGAGCAGCTTTGTAGTGACTTCGCATGCTCAGGACCAGCCTCTAAACCAGGAGGTCAGAGATAATTGCTGACAAGATTGCAAAATTCAACACCAGTCATGACTCCTCAGATAATGAAGCAGTTCACATTAATATGTATCATGACCTGAACAATATCCAAGCTTGACCCAAGGATGATTGCAGCACCAAAGAGGGTCTCTTCCTGTCTCACACTGGTCTGCTTTCTCTCTTTCTTTCTTCCTCTCTCTATCCTCTGTCAGTCTAATACTTCTCTGTCTTTCTGTCTTGTTTCAGTTTCTTTGCGTTTCTCTCTCTCCCTGTCCTATAGAAACAGAAAATAAAAACCGGCGTTGGTCATTCAGTCCTTCATTATGATCTTAGCTGATCATCCAATTTAATGGCCTGTTTTTGCTTTTCACCCATATGAGTCATAAAGCTGTACAGCATAGAAACTGGCCCTTTGGTCCAACTCATCCATGCCAACCAGATATCCTAAATTAATCTAGTCCCATTTGCCAGCATTTAGCACATATCCCTCTACACCCTTCCTATTCATATACCCACGCAGATGCCTGTTAAATGTTGTAATTTTACAAGCCTCCACCACTTCGTCTGGCAGCTGATTCCATACACGCACCACCCTCTATGTGGAAAGGTTGCCCCTTAGGTCCCTTTTAAATCTTTCCTCTCTCAACTAAAACATATGTCCTCTAGTTTTGGATACCCCCATCTTGGCTATTCACCCTATCCATGCCCCTCATGATTTTGTAAACCTCTATAAGGTCACCCCTCAGCCTCCGAAGCTCCAGGGAAAATAGCCCCAGCCTATTCAGCCTCTCCCGATAGCTCAAACCCTCCAACCCTGGCAACATCCTTGTAAATCTTTTCTGAAC